TGCGTTCAGCTTTTTGTCAACACCGTTTAAGTGTTTTGTGGCAGGACCTCTTAATGAGCTGCACGCTTTTGCAGATAAAGCTGAGTCAGGAAGCCTCTCTTAGATGAGGCGCCCGCTTGCCTCTAGCAAGCAGAGCAGACCCGAGAACACAGAGAGTCTAGTTGCCATCAAACAAATCGTAGCACTTTACTCCAAATACTCTATTCAAAAGCTCTGTCTCCCGCAGGAGCCAGACAGAGATCGCAATGGCGGCACAGCCCCAGGAAGTCGCACTTTAAAATGACACAGCCTTTTTTCTGCTACTGTTGCTGAATCAGGAAATCTCTCTACAGCACGCCACCAACAAACAGCAAAAATCTCTCTTTCCCTTATTTTTAAGCCTTCTCAGGTTTTTTAAGTGGGTTTAGTTGTTCACACGTCTGGGCGCCAAATGTAGTAATATGGGGCGGCAGGGCTGCGTCCCCCACACCCAGCCGCCCACATGGCTAGCTTATGCTCCGAAATAACAACACACAAACTGTATTCTTTTAAGCACTGCTTGGCCCTTTAGCTCTAGCACTTACAGGCTAATTCTCACATCCTGATCAACCCATCTCTAATAATCTGTGAGAACCGGTCTTACCGGGAAGATTCTAGCCTAGTCCATCCTGGGTCGGAGCTTCATCCCGGGAGCGGGGCATGGCGTCTCTCTCAGGCGTCTGTTCCCGAGAAGAGAGCTGTGAGTCTCTGAGCTCACTTCCTCTTCCTCCCAGCATTTTGTTCTGTTTACTCCACCCACAGGGCCAAGCAGTTTCTTTATTGGCCAATGACCTTCCTCCATCACTCTCTCTCCTGTAAAATCCTATTCTACCACAATTAAAACATTTGATATTTTGGCATCTCCTCATACCATGGGAAATTGCTTCTTCTACCCAAGCAACAGTTCTATTCTCAAATGTTTCCACATACATTGTATGCAAGATCCATTCATCTGTGGGTGCTGATATGATCTTCAAAGGCCCAAGGATCTTCTTACATTATAAATTGGCATTTTCAAAAGCCAATTTTTCAATAAGTACACATCTAGCTTTGGGGTCTGTCACTACTACTTGTACAGCCTTAGTTAATCTTTGTAAGAAGTCACTAACAGGTTCTCTCTGGCCCTGTTTAACTCTAATATATGACTCAATTTTCTCCTGGTTCCTGAATCCTGTCCCATGCATTTAAAACTGCTGTACTACACAGGGACAAGGTGCATTGATCATAGTGAGCTTGTTTCTGAGGATCAGAGTAATGACCCTAGCCAAGAATTTGAACATGGGAAGTATCAAATTCTTTTGCATTCCCCTGTTGTTCTAAAATTTCTGCCTCTTCTCTTAAATAACACTTCCAAAGCAACTGAGGTCCATCTTCTAGGACCACTGAGATTAATTGAAGTCAATCATGTGGGTCGACTTATTGCTTGAAGCCCATGTTTTTACCATTTCCCTGACAAAAGGTGAATGCAATTCATAAAAACTATTACTTGCTTAATTTCTTTTAGATAGCTCATAAGTTCCCATGTATATTCTTTTACTCCTTTAGGGTACTTAGTGCCAGATGGCCTTGATTACTTGATATACAGTTAAAACTCTGTGTAAGTTACCATGGGGTCTGACAAGTACCGATGAGGCTAAATTCTGTCCTACAGAAAATATTTAAAAGCATCTGCCTCACATAATGACAGACAATAGCCTCATTAAGCAATTTCTCTACCACGTGTGAGCCTGAGAGTTTCCAGAGTTGACCTGTGTGCCCTGCATCATGGGTTCTTTCCTCTTACCACTGACACAGCAGTGTTGCACTCTCATGAAATAGTGTGATTTCAGAGTGGCTCTCAGGTCCTTCAGCTTTTGTCTCCTTATCTCAGAGAGGTATCCTTGTACTCATTAACATTTACAATGATTAATTTAATTGCCTCTTGAAGAAAACATGGAATATAAAAAAAACACAAGGATTCATGAATGTTGACTTACAGAAAATAACTCTATGGTCTTTTGTGAGACCCTACACTGCCAGGAAAATGTGTATATGATTCAGAGTAAAATTGAGGGATGGAGAGCTTCAGAGAAGGAAAAAACTCAGATGAGTGGGACAGAGAAATGTTAGTTACACTGTTGTTACTTATATTTCTATGTCATTCTTTGTACAAATACTTACCCGAATTTGGAAAAGAGTATTATTAATATCTGTTCCCATACAGGGTAACACTGTTTTTCTCAATAAGCTCCCTAGCTTACCACCCCACATCAGAGATTTCCTAGACAGAGCCGCGCTGTGCCTCTGAGCTGAGTGATTTAGTAGCAGTCCCCCACTGAAGACATGCTCTCAGTACATATGCAGGCCTTGTGCTTCCCTAACCCTTATGCTTTCTTTCAGTCAGGGGCCTGGTTGGAAACAGCACAGGTGATGTTTAAAGTTATGTTGCTAGAGCTCCCTTGACTGGAAAAAAGCAATTGTGAAGGTTCCTGAGAAGATGCTTTCTACTTAGAGGGGAAAGAATAGAATGAGGAAGATGAAACAGAGTCTTTAACTGGCCCCATTCTGCTCTAAGAAGCACATGGGCATGGAATGAACATCAGTGAAGCATGTCAGCTTCCTGTATCTGTTAGTACTTCTGACAGTAAGGAAGGGTTTAGCCGAGACTGCCCTTGTCCACGCCCCTAGAGGGAAAGAGTCATCAGTTCAGCACCTGAGGCCAGATGCTGACCAACACATGACCAGAGGATGATTCACAAAGGTTACTACACATATTACCAGTCAGGCCGATAAGAGACTTACTACTCTCCATATTTGCATATCAAACATAAAGGATCATCATAGGTCATGCCTGACTTCTGCTGTGTCAATTGCCTACTGAGCTGGGAATCCAGTATAACACAGAGTCTGTTACAACTAGGTTCTTCCTTTGAATATAGTCCACTTAGAAGGGTATAAAGTGTTAAAGGGAAGTAATGAAAAGAGAAGACATACTATGTGATGGGACATGGGAGGGTGGGGTAGATCAGGGCATATAGAGAAGGATGATCATCATTAAATGCCTTTCAAGATAGCGATATGTCATATGTAAATCTACTACACTGAAAACTTACTAAAGATATACATATGTAAAATGTTTTAATGGAGTTACCTTACTGCTGCAGGTGGTGCAATATCTCAGGTAGACATCTCATATTAACAAATTCAAAACTCATTATCACTAACAGCTTTCCTCTCTTTAGTTGTTAGCCAGTGGGTTCTCATAGACTGAATCTGCTACCTTACAGACTATTGCCTGTAACTTGTCCACACTCCGGAACAACATGCTAAGAGCCCTTTTCTATAGACACCAATGCTTAAGACAGACAACATGGAGAAATCTAAGAGGTGCTCACGAACACTTCATATCTACTGGCCAGCCCTCATGATACTGTAAGGTGCTATGAACTCTGCTAAGGAGAAAAGTACTCAGCAGAGTCAGAGAAGCCCAGGCTCTTTACAGGCTGAGCTGAATTTGAGTTGCTTCCACAGAAGCTCCTTGAAGAGCTAACATGTGTTGCGCATGGAAGAGGATGCAGGAGAGAGTGTCATAGAAATGATCTGCATTAGAGCTTCTAAATTAGCAGGTGCTTAGTGCTAATTAGGATCCTCAGATGGTGTCAATCAAATGGCATGCATTAGCTCAACTGTGACCAAAGGCAAGACTTTGGCAAACAGGAGTTTCCCCAAGTAAAATCAGCAAGAAAGTATTTACCATATTTAGCTGTTAGAGAACAGAAAACCAAGCCTCCACCAGAAGACCAGTCTACCCATGTAAGGATGAGGACCATCATAATAATAATAACAAGTCCTGGCAAAGGAGTGGAGGAAAAAGAACACAAACTCTCAAGTTGAGAGAGGAGACTGACCCATCAAATATGGAAGTCAATATGAAGTTTCCTTCAAAGAAATAACACTAAAGAAAAACGGTCATATGATACAGCACCATCACTTGGGTTTTTATAAAACAAGTTAATACAGCATAGAATAGAGATGCCTGAATATCATCTCTATTTCAGAACTACTCCTGACATGCAAGGTAAATAAGTCAGTACAGCTGCACACCAGAAGTGGGTGGGATAAGAATGCGGCACTTATGTGGACTGGAGTAATGATCAGTCATAAAAAACAATGACATCATGTCCTCTGCAGGTAAACAAATGATACTGCCTATCAGCATGTTCAGGAAAATAAATCCAACCTTAAATACAAGGTTGGCACCAATGTTTCAAATATTAAAGGAGGAAAAGACAAGGGGAGGTTGATGTAGATGTGTAACTATTACATAGGACAAATCGGAAAAGTGAGCGGAAAATACACCGGCTATGGGAGTTATTTGTGCTAAGTGATGCATGCATGTCTGAATACCACATGGTCTTCTTAAAATGGCATGTGCTAACAGGTAACTTATAGCTAGGCAAAATTAAACTCTTTTCCTCAAACAAACAAACACTAAGCAATCTTTATAACTCAAAAAACAGTCAAAATCTGCTTACAACAAGATGACCAGGGCATCAAAGAATAAAAGTAATGTAACTGGAGAATATCAGGAAGGTCATAGAGTCAGTTTTAGAAGAAAAAATGAAAGAACTCATGATTACTAACAGCCATATTGTACTTTATTCAGGAAATGAAGCCACAGTGACAACCACACAAACAAGGAGACTGAGAGTTTTGGAAACATCCTCTGAGTGCACAGGGTGGGAAGATGCTGATCATCACTGAGCATCTGAGACACTGAACCAGTGAGGAAGGACCATTCTCAACCTCCCCTTATAGCAGAAGAACAATCTGAGAAGAATGCTCTTCCTATCAGGGGTCATCACAGACACATGGAGGGTGAAGGCTGGAGAGGATTCTTCTGCACCAATGGCAGGTTTTGAAGCAAAGACGGAAGTGTTTCTATGGAAGAATGAGAGACAGATTTCCTCCTCTTCTCTTGGTCCTGGTGACTGCTGAAGCACTCACTTGCTCTTGGGTGGGCACTTCTGCTGGCAGGGTGAAGGAGGTTGCACAGGAGGGCATTTCTGCTGGCATGGCTCTGGGCACTTTGGAGGAGGACAGGGCTCTGGGCACTTTGTGGGTGGGCACACAGGAGGAGGCTGGCAGGGCTGCTTGCACTGCTGCTCTTGGTAAGACATCGTGCTGAAGGCTCAGGATCTGAAAGACATTGCATGACTGTGTTAGGGGATGATCCACAAAGAGAGGAGAGACAGAGACATGGGACATCACATCCACTTCTCTGCCCACAAATACGCCTTCTTACCAACTACGGTTTGTTTTAGGACAGCCTGGCTTTTCCTTGGCTTTCAGAAATCTATGGCACTGGCTTTGGGAAGTAACCTTTGTTTCATGACTTATTCCAGGAAATAAATACTTTATTTTAACAAAACAAGTAAGGCTCCTTTCACCTAGAAATTCATTTGAGACAGACAGCCTCAAGTTCTGGAACCCTGAGCAATTTGAGAACACATCCCTGTCTCCCTTGTCACTTGTGACATCCCAGCACATTGTCTGAAGTTGCAGAATAAAGGACAGCTCAGGAAAGTCTCAGGTTCTGATACCTGCTAAGGTATAGGGCTCTGAAAAGCACACCAAAAGACGCACATGAAAGAGAAAATACTCTGTTCAACCACTGAGCAAATAAAAGGAAAAGCCACCTTTCACAGTGGACCATTGTATCCATTTCTATATTTCTGATTGCTAAGTTGTCGTTGTTCATCCCAGGAATACAACTGAACTCATCACACTTACTCCCTCAAAACTGACTGGAGCACATACGCAGACCATAAAGACAGACCAACCCAAGAAGCACTCACCAGGTTCTCCAAACTCAGAGTCAAGAAGTCTGCAGTCACACAGTCAAGGGCCTCTTTATAGGACTGGCTGCCCTGCCCAGAGAGAGTAGGGCTGTGATAATGGGCAGGTCCAAGAATTTCCCAACCAAAATGCAAATCCATGTATGACTGTCTGACTGGGACTCTACAAAATAGGAAATATCCTGTTCCTGGACACCATGGCTGTAGAGTCCTGTGACTCAGTAGGCCCTCCTGTCTGCTGTTGGTAAGACATCGTGCTGAAATCTCAGGATTTGAAAGACACTTTGTGACATTTGTTTCAAGAGGTGATTCCCCACGAAGAAAGAAACTTAAGTTTATGAAATACCACAACTCTTCCTCAATCCCTATTCTTCCTCCAGACTTCCTGAATTTCCTGAATTTTTGTTTCATTAGCCTAGAAAAGCAACATTTTTCTTCACATTTTCTGTAAGAAAACATCTTTTTCCCAAAGGACAGAATACTGATAGTTGTAGAAAACATTATCTTCAAGAAGGCACTGTGAAGTTTAAGTTGTCTCAGTGATGACAGTAACCTCTGTCATTGCTATCACTTGTGATGTTCCAGGAATTTGACCAGATTATAAAACAACACCTAGATAAATTCATGACTCCAGAACCTCCTAAAAAGAAGACCAAAGGAGTTCAGAAAAGAGAAAAGTATTCTCTTTGGTCCTGGAAAGCTGAGTTGTAGTTGGAGGAGAAAGAATAGAATGAGGAACATGAAGCAAAGCCATTAACGAGTCCCAGCTGTGCTCTGGGAAGCACACGGGCACTGAATCCACCTGGGTGGAACATGTCAGCTTCCTGTGACTGACAGTGCTTTTGACAGTAAGGAAGGATTCGGCTGAGAATGCTATTGTCCATGTCCCTGAAGGGGAAGAGTCATCAGTTCTGCACCTGAGGCCAGGAGTCAAGACTCACACCACCAATGGATGGCTCATAAAGGTTAGGACACAGCCCATAAGGCCAGGTCAGTAGGAGACTCACTGCTCTCCAAGTTTGCATATCACACCTAAGAATGATCTCAGGGAAACTCTGCGATCAGCATACAAGGCAGGAATAGACTCATGGGTTTTTTTTGTTGTTGTTGTTGTTTGTTTTGTTTTGTTTTGGTTTTTGGTTTTTTTTTTGTTTGTTTGGTTTTTTTTGTTTTGTTTTGTTTTGTTTTTTTGCCGCCACAGTGAACAAGGGTGTGTATATGGTAGAACTATCACCATCTTCTGTGCCTTGCTACTTACAAAATAAGGTAAAATATCCAGGATTTTCTCCATTGATTTTGACAACAGCTGAACCAGTTTTCATTCAACATAAAAGAACATCTGCAACCCTTCCCTTCATCTTTACTAGCCTGGAATATCATTTCTTTTATTGATCTTGGTCATTCTGACTAAAGTAAGACAAAATCTCTAAATGGTATTTTTTTTTATTTCCCTGATGGCTGAGGATGTAGAACACTTTTAAGTGTTTCTCAGCCATTTGTCTTTCATTTTTTTAAAACATGCTTTTTAGTTTTTAGTTTCAAAAAAATCTTTTTTTAAAAAAAATAGACTCTTTGTTTTCTTCTCAACCAAATATATATATATATATATATATATATATATATATATATATATATATATATATGCCTATGAAGGTACAAGAAGCTTACATAACACAAAGCAAACTAGAACCAAAAAAATGTCCCCTCACCACATAAGAATCATAATACAAAATATACAGAATAAAGAAACAATATTAAAAACTGCAAAGGATGGGGGAGGGGGAGGGAAATGGGAGGTGGTGGCGGGGAAGAGACAGAAATCTTTAATAAATAAATAAATTTAAAAAAATTTAAAAAAAAAGAACTGCAAAGGAAAAAGCCAAAAACATGTAAAGTCACACCTATTAGAATTATGTCTATTATATCAGTGGAAACAATGAAAGCCAGAAAGTCCTAGTCAAGAGTTATGCAGACTTTAAGAGACCACTGATAATATACCCAGCAGAACTTTCAATTGTCATAGACAGAGAAAACAAGAACTTTCTTGACAGAACCAGATTTAAACAATACCTAACCACAAATCCAGCCCTACACAAAGTACTGAAAGGAAAACTCCAACCCACAGAAGTCAGCCACACCCACAAAAATACAGACAATAGATAATCTCACAGCAACAAACTCCAAAGAAGGGAAAAACACACACAAGAACATCACCTACAACGAAAACTAAGATGACAGGAACTAGCAATCACTGGTCATTATTATCCCTTAATATAAGTGGACTCAACTCTCCTATAAAAAGATACGGGCTTAGAAATTAGAAACAAAAACAGAATCCATCATTCTACATACAAGAAACACACCTCAATCTTAAAGACAGACATCACATCGGATTAAAGGGTTGGGAAAAATTTTTCAATCAAATGGACCAAAGAAACAAGCTGAGGTAGCTATCTATTACAAAATAGACTTCAAACTAAGATCAATGAAAAGAGACAAAGAAGAACATTTCATATTTGTCAGAAAGAAAAAGGCATCAAGAGGAAATCTCAAGGCTGAACACCTATGCCCCTAATACAAGGGCACACTCATGTGTAAAAGAAACACTGCTAAAGCTTAAATCACACATTAAGCCCCACACGCTAAGAGTGAGATGCTTCAACACCCCACTCTCACTATACAAATCTGCAAGACAGAAACTTAACAGAGAAGTAAGGGAATAACAGACATTATGATTCAAATGGACTTAACAAACATCTATAGAACATTCCATCCAAACATAAAAGAATATACATTCTTCTCAGCACTCCCATGGAACCTTCTCAAAAACTCAGTAACAAAGCAAACCTCAACAGATACAAAATATTAGAATAACCCCATGTATCTTATCAGATCACCATGGCTTAAAATTAGAATTCAATAGCAACGCTAATTTCAGGAAGCCAACAAACACATGGAAATTGAATAATGCTTATCTGAATCACCAATGGATTAAGGAAGAAAATAAAGACTTCCTAAGATTCAATGAAAATGACCACACAACTTATGGGATCCAATGAAAGCAGTGTAAAGAGGAAAGTTCATAGCCTACATAAATGCCTACATAAAGAAACTGGAAAAAAATCCCACACTTGTGAGTAAACAGAATGCCTAAAACCTCTAGAACAAAAAAAAACTCTCCAACGAGGACTACAAGGCAGGAAATAATCAAATTGAGAGCTGAAATCAATAAAATAGAAACAAAGAACAAATGAGACAAAGAGTTGGTTCTTTGAGAAAATCAACAAAACAGAAAAATCCTTATTAAACACTAACCAAAAGGCAGAGAGAAAAATATCCAAATTAACAACATCAGAAATGAAAGGGAGACACAACAGGAGACACGGAGGAAATCCAGAGAATCATCAGGTCATAATTCAAAAGCCTTTACTTTACAAAACTGGAAAACTTAAAAGAAATGGACAATTTTCTGGATAAACATCACTTGCCAAATTTAAATCAAGACCAGATAAACAAATAAATAGATCTATAACCGCTAAGGAAATAAATGCAGTCATCAAAAGTCTCCCAACCAAGAAAGACTGTGACCTGATGGTTTCAGTGCACAATTCTACAAGATTTTCAAAGAACTAATATCAATACTCCTCAAACTGTTCCATACAATAGAAACAGAAGGAACATTGCCAAATTCTTTTTACAAGATGGCAATTACCCTGACAGAAAAACCACACAACACCATTAAAACATTCAAAATGTAACAAAATATATTTCAGCGTGATAACAATTTCATTTTTCAGTATATTCTTAAAGGATTGAACTTATATACACAGCTGCAAATGTATGTACTTTGTGCTGGTTCACAAAATTTAGTTTTGCTTTCTAGTTTCTGTCCTAAATACTCTCCATGTAAATGTCTATCAATATTTGACTAACTTAAACACTAATACACATTGTGTACAGCTCTTTGGCCATTTAAAAATGTAACTGTTTAATTTTTAATAAAAAAAATACCAGAATTAAAAGTTAACTTCCATAGTCAGAAAGAGAAAATAAATCCTGTGTAATTTCACTCATATTTTGATACTAGGAAGTTGACATCACAAGGATAGATACGAAAATGTCGGTTTCCATGGGATTATAGTGGGTAAGAGACAGATATGGAAAGTCTTCTGAGAGAGTACTAAGCTATATTTGAATGCAAAAATAAGTTCTGTGGTGTATTTTACATTTTAAGAACTTTACAAGACAAATTTTAAGTATTCTCACCATAAAATATTGAAATTATTTTAGGTGAGAAATGTAATGACCTTGATTTGAATGTT